AAACTTTGCACAGGGTCTCTGCTAGGTCTAATCTATCACTAGACGTGCGTACCTCGAAAATTTTTTTCCGGTGAGATGGCCTAACGTCCGCGTCGGGGTCATGGATCCGTTTGTGGTCCAGTCGGTCCGAGCTGCTGCGAGTGACTGACTCGGTGTAGACCGTACCCTTTGTGGCAACACCCGCTCACTCACCGGCTGACCTTCAAGGTGAGCGGGTCTCACCACGGAGCGCGTCATACGGACGCCGGTGGTGGCCGCCGGGCAGCACACAGGTATAGCAGAAGAGTTGTCGCCTCGAGTATTGGTTGACCGGTGTGCGGTGTGTGTACACTGTTAGAAAGTTTCGTCATTTAAAGAAAAAAAAATTAACGACTAGTATCCCAGGTTGCAGAGCTGCATAAAATGTGCATTTTGTGTCCAATCTGTAACGCGCCTCAAACGCGAGTAGGCGCCTAATGTGCGCGTACATGTGCCTAAAATGCGAGGGGTCCGCAAGTACGGTCTGCCGGTGTACACATGTGGTGGGCTTCATAGTTTTCCTAGGTTTTCCTAAAGTTTTCCCGGTCTTCCCAACTTTTTATTGATTTTCCCAATATCTTGGTTTTCTGATATTTTATAATAGTGGGGTAAATAGCGTACCAAACCTTGCATTTTGAGGTACCGGTACCAAACTTTGCACAGGGGTAGTAGACACCAATACATCACTTTTGAGAAGTGGTGCCCCGATGGCACTACTTGCAGCGCCCAGGTAGGGCGCATTGCATATCATCCGGGGCATTTTCACGAAAACTCCCCTTTCAAGGTATCCAGGGGTCACCTGTCAGACCACTTGGAATTAAATTACTAGAAATAGGTCGACGGATGTCGGGAGAGCCCCAAAGAGTCCACTGTGAGTGCAGATTGCCTATGGTTCAGGGGCAAAATAGCGAAGTTTAAGGAAATAGAGTTGTTTTTCTTCTGATTCGTTCCTATGTATTTCCGTGTAGTTACTGCTAAAATAAGCGCCATGTTCATTCTCTCATTTCAAGTTTTACACTGTGGGGGTAAGGTATGTGGTCTGAGACTTTAGATTGAAGCTTTAGCAAATGCGAAAAAGTGAGTTTCTCTGATTCAACGTCGCCCATGTTTTCTGTCGATAACTCTATCCTACACACGTCGTCAAGCGAAGTGGCTCGCTAGCGCTACAGATCGCAAGCGCTACGGGTCACAAGCGCTACAGCGGTGGGCGCTACGGTTCGCAAGCGCTACGGCTCACAAGCGCTACAGCTCACGACCGCTACAGGTCGCAAGCGCTACGGGTCACAAGCGCTACAGCGGGAATCCGAGTGATAGGCGGACCCGACTGTAGACAGTGCCGCGAGCGAGATCAAGCCGTCGATCTCACCGTGTATGAGAAATAGGCAATGCGCTGCTCCTTCAGAGAGCCTCGTTGTGGAAGCGGTGTCATGTATAACAGTTTGACAACAATCGGTGATTTTTTTGCCGTATTAAATAGTAAATCGGCTGTAAGACAAATACATAAATTCATTCTGTTGTATGCAGGGAATTTATAATTCTTGACTCTGAAAAATTGTATTGCCGGGTCCAGGAACATTTTTATTGTGGTCATACAATTACAATTACTGAAAATTGTAAATTTACAAGCACGGCGCATCGACTTACAATCGAACAACCACGAGAACGGGAGGTTGAACATATACGACACGTTTCATACAGGGTCAGTTACAAAACTAACTCAGAAATGTGCTATCAAACCGACGTCAAAATCAAATCTTATCCCGCACAGAAAAAAAGATCTTAAAAAGTGACAAGCCAAAGTGTCTCAAAAGTGTAAAAAAAGTATACAAAAGGTATGAAAAAAGTTTGTCTAAAGTGTCACGAAAGTTGTGTGGTTCCAATCTGCTATATTTTAAGTATACCTAATGTGTACTTTTTACAAAAGTATACCCGAAAGTGTCATTTGGATAAACTTATTTCCAAGCGGGATTACGTCAATTTGCGGCCCAAAATGCCGTTGATTCAACGTCATTTTGGTCCGCAATAAATCCAATGTCA